ACTATTCCTGACTAGGTATTGGCCTGGATCCTTACGTACTTTGCACTTTGGTTGTACTATTTGTAATAAAAACGAGTTGGAGAGTGCTGATCTCTGAGCCTTGTCTGACTGTTGACCCTCTAGCCCAGCATCCTGGAGTTAATTTCTTCATTAAAATCTTTTCCCCTTACCACTAGAGGGAGGTATTGCTTCCAGTTGTTTCTTCTTTGGGAAAGCGTCACTTAACCCTGGGATGTTTAAAGTGGAGAAGTTGAGGCCAAGGACAGCCTAGAGTCAGCTCTTTGTTGGTCATTTGGCAGCCAAACTGTCAGCTGGGCATTCAGCCCTGGGTTTGAATTTCAACTCTGCCACTTCCTGGCTGGCACACCTTTGCCAAGATCCCCTGCAGAGTGTTAATTTCCTCTTCATTATAAATAATGGACATGGACAATTCCTGGGCATTGCTTAGTGGAGTGCTTCATTTATAATGGTATGTGGGTGGAGGAGAGACTTCCAGATAGAACTTCCAGGGTGGAGACCCCAGAATAGCAAATGCCACACAACTCTCCCAGTGACCAAGTTCCTATCTGTTGAGAGGTCATGATGAGTATCTGTCTAGGGAGCGGACCTTTCCAAGGGGCAAGATGTCTGGAGGAAAACAGGTGGGCAATATTCTGTTCCATTCCCTGCCTTCTAAACCATGAAGCAGGATTTGGGGAATGTAGAACGGAGGACTCAAAGCTGAGTATGTAAGAGAGATCTTGGGCAATTCCAAGTTTTCAGAGTCCAAGTTTATTATGTATGAAATACCTAAGTATGAAACACCTAAGAAGATGGGAAAAGATGATTTAGAGACAAAAACACTTAGAAAATTAGTTTCTTGGTAAGTATATATTATAGAAGACAACCAGGTTCCCTGGTCAGACTGTTGTCTGCCACCAGAGGGCAACCATACAGTCAGATCTCAAAGACCACCTTGCCCATGATGCTGGCACTCTTTGAGAAAGAACACAGCTGCACACACAATTAGCACCAGGCTTGGCTGAGAACCAAAGCCAGAGTCAGAGAATAGCATAGAAAAGGAGGTGTGTGTGTGTGGGGGGGTCTGTTGCCTTGGGAGATCTGCCCCAGGAGCCAAGGAAGATGACCTGACCTCAAACAGCTCAGAAGTGTACTTCTTAGGCTTTGTGATCAGGTATGACTGAATGTTCCCTAGCTAGGGCAGGGAGGCTGCCCAACCAAACCACATATCAAACCTAGTTTAGTTGCAAAAATGCTTACAAGGGATTCTGTGCTCCAAATAAAAAATATACAATACCCATTTAAAGGGGAAACCTCCACAAGATTGTTAAGATTAAAAGTTTGCTGTTAGCTGGGTGTGATGGCGCATACCTGTAATCCCAGGAGGATTGCATTGTGTGTAGTCTACTGTGGAGGCTGAGGCAGGAAGATAACAAGTTAGAGGCCAGTCTGGGCAACTTAGTGAGAACCTATCTCAAAATAATGAAAAAAGGGCTTAGGAATGTAGCTCAGCAGTAGAGTTAAAAAAAAAAAAAAGTTTGCAGCTAGTCTTTTTTTTTTTTTTGGTGTGTGTGTGTGGAAAATAGCAATTTTCAATTTTTCTCCCATGACTACTATGAGAAAGGACAAAATTACAATTAACCTTATTTTCTTTTCAAATTTATGTTTTTATTGTTTGTTATTACTTATTTAAACTTTGGATTTTCATTTCCTTGAAGAGTGGAAGAAAGAGAGGTTTGATGTGATGGGAGGAGGCTCTGGGACTCACTCCTTTTATTCTGTTTTTTCCTTGAAGATCCTTTAGAGATCCTCCACTGTGGGACAGATGGATGTGTCCTACTGCAGTTCTGACAGCTGTCCAGGAGAAAACCATTCCAATTCTCTAACCCGTTCACATATCATGTCATGCCACCATTGTTTGAAGAAGGAAAGAGAGGTGAATGCCCTGTAGTTCCAGGCTGAGGCAGGAGGATCACAAATTCAATGCCAGCATCAGCAACTGAGGTACACCCTCTATAAAAGGCCCCTGTTCCTGCTGATGGGCAGAATCACAGCCTTTGGGACAGGCAGAATCACACCCTGTGTTTCTCCTTTGTTAGGAAACAATAAACCTTCTTTTTCCTTCTTCTCAAAACTGTGTCCTCATTATTGGATTGACACTGGGGATAAGGACTGAATTTTGGCAACAGGAAGAAGAATGGGGGGGAGTACCCCCCCCCCAAAAAAAAAAAAAAAACCAGCAAAGCAAAAGTGAAGGAAGGGAGGGAGGGGTAGAGGGAGGGAGGGGTAGAGGGAGGGAGGGAGGAAGAGGAAGAAAGTAAAAGAAAAAGGAAGAGAGAAAGAGGTACAATTAATTTTAAAGACTTCAACTGGCCTGCTTTCTTGAACCCAGGACCTCACATACGCTAGGCTTTATTTTGGATTCCAGAATTGGGCAACACTTCATTCCACAGAATAGAATAAGTGCTGCAATGAATAGAACAAAAGAGTTTGGTTTTATAAATAAAAAAGGGAAAAAGAAACCAGAAACAAAAAGGCAGCTTGGTCTTTTCAAAATTAATTTTCTTATAAGGTGGGGACAAGGAGACAGAAAATAGAAAAGTAACCGATGGGCTAACATAGGTTACTTTAGGTGACCTTTTTGTGTGTGTGTAAAGACTAAGCCAGGGAGCTTTGTTATCATGCCCGTTGACATTGGCTTGTTTAGAAACTCTGGTGGTTATCTCTCTAATCCTAACCTCTCATAAAGTCAGAGAAGCAGTTTAATTTCAGCCAGGCACGATGGTGCATACCTGTAATCTCAGCGAATTGGAGGGCCAAGCTTCAGCAATTTAGTGAGACTCTGTCTCAAAATCAAAAATCAAAAGGACTGAAGGAGGTAGCTCAATGGTAAAGTACCCCTGGGTTCAATCCCCACTACCAAAAAAAAAAAAAAGTTTAATTTCGTTTGAATTGAGCTTTAGCATGAAAGTAATTTCATTTTCAATTTTAACCTGGTATGTTGTGTCCTACCAGAGGAGTTTAGACTAAAACAATAGTCTTCTGTAATTTTTACTTAACATTAGTATCAGCTAAGGTCATGAAATAGCTTTAGGCACTGGTACAATAAAAATCTGGGATAAAGTTGTTTTAATCAGTCAGTAACCTCCCGGAAAGGCTTAAGTTTTCGTGTATTTGTGGATAAGAATTGAGGAGACTCTGACATGATTTGTCCCACTGCTATCGCCCTTCACACCTCTCCTTGATGAGATATAAGACAAAGCCACCAGGATTTGAAAGGCCTAGTCTGACTAACCGCCTTTCCCACCAAACAAGGTTAAGATTAAAGAGATTAGGGCAGAATCAGACGCTGAGGGTAGGGCAAGGCAGGAGACTGGGAGATGTGGGCGAGTGGTCAGGCGAAGCTGTGTTTTCCCTTCTGACTATGAGATGTGATGTGTGGTGGAGAATGGTAAGGTGACAACTTTGCTATCAGAGAGGTTAAAAATATACGGTGTATTTAAAAGTTCCATATTAAGACTTTTAGCACACCCCCTAAAAACCATAATGCAGTGTAATTGTGATATTTTCAAGCTAAATTACACAGTTATAGAAGACCTTAATTTCTGGTGCACATAAGTGCTCTAGTCTGGTAATCAAATTTAAAGTTAGGTGGCTCACGCCATAATCCCAGCAGTGCACAGGATCACAAATTCAAAGCCAGCCTCAGCAACTGAGTGTGGCTATAAGCCAACTAGCAGACCCTGTCTCAAAATGAAAAATAAAAAGGGCTGGGGATGTGGCTCAGTGGTTAAATGCCTTTGGATTCAATCCCTGATTGTGTGTGTGTGTGTGTGTGTGTGTGTGTTGGGGGAGTGAATAAAGATTGTTGGTCCTGTCAGATGCCTGGCAAAGGTCAAATGCTGAAATCTTAAATAAGAGTTGCTCCCTCCCATCCCCCATTGCCTTTATGAGATGACTTTTTTTCTTTTCGGTACTGGAGATTGAACCCAGTGGTGCTTTACACTCAACTACACTATCGACCCTTTTTATTTTTTGAGATAGGGTCTAGCTGAGTTGCTTAAGGCCTCGCTAAGCTGCTGAGGCTGACCTCAAACTTTCAATCTTCCTATCTCAGCCTCCCGAGTTGCAGTGATTACAGGTGAGCACCACCACATCCAGCTAACAGACGAGCTTTGATGGCGAGCTTTGGACCTCAGATAGAGGTTTGGGAAGATTTTTTTCAATTTATTTCACTTCTTTTACTTTGTTTCTTTGTCTATCTGTAACCTTCAGGGAAAGAGATGTCCTCCTACAGGAAGCTACATCTAAGCAAATACCTCTAAGTTTCGTTAGGGTAAAAGACAAACAATATTAGAACCACCTGACCTTCCTTTATAATTCTAACATAATTGTTTTGTTTTGTTTTTTAAAGCAAGCAAGAAGTAGGTTTATTGCAAAGGTGAGAGAGATACACAGACTTCTCTGAATAGAAAGGACCCCATAGCTGGAAATCCGGTGGGGAACATAACTATTTTTGGAAAAGCATATGCTCACTTAATAATTGAGGTGACTTCTCATCTCTTCCAACCTCAGCTTCACCTCTGTATGGAAAACAAAGAAAACAAACAAAACAAAAAAAAACCCAAAAAAACAAAACAGTATGAAAAGAGCTGGTACTTGGCAGCCCTTTCTGAGTCTTGTGGGCTTGGATTTGAGAGTGTTTTTACTATACTGTCTCCATTCTCCTTTAGCCTTTCTTGGACCCAGGCACTGAACAGGCGCTGAGAAGTGGTGGGTAAGCATGACTTCTCCTTGGAAGTGGGTGGATTTCACCTTAGGACCTGTGGCTCCTATCCTGCAGGGCTTCTAAGGACTTGGGGCCTCCGCATCCTGGACTACAACTCCCAGTATACCTTGAGCGCCCCGGGTCAAATCTCGCGTGAACTTCCGCGGGTTCAGAAGGCTTCAACATCAAGGCTGCCGGTTCCGACGGCCGCTTGTGCTCTCCAGTCGGTGGTGCGAGCAGTCGAATTTGCCGCCGCTCCCACGATGGCTTGGGTCTGGACTGCGCCACAATCTCTTGAGAGAAGTGGGTCTTCAGATCCTCTTTAGTGCCGGAGTTGGGGACGCAGGCAGCTTGGACACAGCGGGATAACAGGTGACCAAATAGCGGGCCTCGGGGCTCCTTGGAGGTGTCTTCTAGCCCTCGGGAGGGGCGCGCTTCCGGCCTCACCATGCTTCCCAGCTTACCCGGCTCTGGACTCTGCGGGACCGCCCCTGTTTCTGCCTTCTAGTCGTCCACGGCCTCTCTAATGGGGCTTCTCTGGCAGAGCCTGTGGAGCCCCGACACTGAGCTTCTCTCCTGGCTGACCCACCCAGTCCCGGATCCCCTCCCGCCTCGCTTCGCCCGACGGCTCGCCAACATCTCCCAGTCCCCTGCCTTGCCCTACCCTCAGCGTCAGGTTCTGCCCTAATCTCTTTAATCTTAACCTCGTTTGGTGGGAAAGGCGGTTGGCCAGACTAGGCCTTTCAAATCCTGGTGGCTTTGTCTTGTATCTCGTCAAGGAGAGGTGTGAAGGGCGATAGCAGTGGGACAGGGGAGCGGAGAAAGGGGAATGGAGTGTTTCTGGGTCGGGAATGCTCTGTCGACCGGGAAGATGGTTGAACTTTGGGTTTTGTGGTGCTCTTTAGTGAAGAACTAACTGGTTTGCTCTCTCAACTCTATCCGGTTTCAGGGACACAGTAGCAAGTGGAAAAGCAAATAACTTGCCTTTTTCAGGCCCTTGTCTTAATTCCCCTGTAAAATGGGGTTGAAACTGGCTGCCTTGCAGAGGGGTCACTTGTCTATCAGCTTGGACAAAAATTTGATAAGTAATAACTGCTTTGCATGGTGGCTGCAAGGTTTAAAAGCAAAATTTGTATAAAACGCTATAAGTATTAGTTGGTGTTAGTAATAAAGAGTGAATTTACCTACTATGGTACCTAGCCCCTTACTGTGAGTCAGAATGAAAATGAATAGAATTACTCTTGCAAGGCCATAATGAGCAATAAGTGAATGTATGGAAAAGTATCAATGCTGGCTGTTTGTTGTTATTAGAATCTCTGGATGGACTCTTCCTGGGAAGCTTTGCTAATTTGCAGCACCTGGACAATGTTCCTCATTAATACCTGTCTGTCAGCATAGTGGTGACATCATTTCACTGTGGTAGGTGTCTTTTTCACCTATTGTCTTAGTTTTGTCATCTCACAGATGTTAAGATCACCCTTTGATATTATTCTTTTTCTCTTCCCATTGGCATGTTTGTCACCTATTGACTTCTGTATGTGTGTTTCAACCAAGTTAGCAGCCGTAAGTCTCTGTGTACCTATCAGAAGAACAGCATTTGGAAGGGTTCTTTGGTGTTCAATATGAGAAAATGCCCTTTGTTATTTTTATTAGGTGACAGGGACTCAGCTCCGAATTATAAATTGAAAAAAACCTGGATCCCAGTCTATCAATGGCTTCAAGACAACCAGAAGTACCTGGTAAACATAATTCTTTTTGGTTGTGTTTTGCCCTTAATGTTTTCAGCTAGACAGTTTAATCTAAACCATGTATTAATGGTTACTTTCTGCCATCAGTCAATCATTTAGACTTAATAGATTGATGTAATTTAGATATTACCTTATTGACCATGGTATGTTCCCCAAACCAAACTTAATGTATGTCAGATATGTTACTTTGTATGAAATCAGTTGTGTAGTTTTTGTATTATAGAATGTACCAAAGTGATTAAATTTTTTGGGATGAGGGTTGGGGACAGAATGGAGAACTGGGCAAAAAGGCACTACTAGCCTGGTTTAATGGTGAGTTGAGCTTATTTGTGAAAATGTTTGCAGAGCACTTTTTTTTTTTTTTTTGTTCTAGGGATTGAACCCAGGAACACTTAACCACTGAGCCATATCCCCAGCTCTTTTTAAAATTTTGAGACAGGGTCTCATTAAGTTGCTGAGGCTGGCTTGAACTTTTGATCCTCCTGCCTTAGCCTTCCTAGTCACTAGGATTACAGATGTGCACCACCATTCCCAGCTTGCAGCACCTTTTAATGTGTTCTGCATCTGAGTAAGGCAGTGATTTCTGGGTTATTGAAGTGACTGATTCCTTCTTGACTGCTGTATTAGAAGAGAAGGTGATTTTTAATTAAATCTGAATTACTCAATTTCTCATTCTCAGTAAAGTATATAAATGGTGATGTCTATCTTTCAGGATTGTTAAGAAGACTAAATATCATATTTGAAAATATGAATTAAAAGTTGGTGCTGTCCTTGAGCCTCCTGCTCTTGCTCAGTCCACTCTGCTCTATCTTGCGGGGTGCTCCTTCCACATTTACCTTCAATAAATCTGTACTTTGCCTGTTAAAAGGAAAGAAAAGTTGGTGCTAAATATATATTTACTGTCCAGAAAAATTTCTTGTCTCTTTTTAGGGGAATATATTTCCTAGAAGTTTTATCTGACTTCATCATTATTTTTATAAAGGTTACTGGGTAGTCTTACAGATTTTTTGAAATTGCTCCCAAATCAGTTGAATTAATAAAAGTTTCCCATATGTCCCCTAATCTAGATCTGTCTTTAGTCTCTTAGCATCATCTGCTTGTATGTTAGTCTTTCATTGTTGCTGCAGTTATCATCAACTCCCTGTCAGCATCCGGAGCTATACTGTTGCACTAATTAGGCTAATGTTTTTTAGTGTGGGGAGCGTGGCATGTTGGGTCTGGAGTGTGAGCCCTGGTTTAGATCTCTTTCACACTTGTAGTTGGGTGATGTTGGGCAAGCCTAAGCTCTGTGCCTCAGTTTCCTGAGCTGGAAAATGGGAAGAATATTTGCTTAATGAGGGTTAGATAAGATGAGGGATGTGAATGCCTAATAATTATTTGCTTGTGTGTTTGAGGCAATGTAAATGCCATAAAATTCACCCACTTAAAATGAACAGTTTAATGGTTTTTAGTATACTCACAAGATTGTATGATGATCAGCATTATTCTAATGTAGAACGTTTTCATTACCCCCAAAAGAAACCTTACACCCATTAGTGTCATACCTCATTGCCTCTTCTCCCCAGCCCCTGGCAATCAATAATCTTCTTGGATTTATTAAGTCCTGTGGAATTATTATTTCAGTACTGGGGATTGAATGTGGGGATGCTGTACCACTGAACTACATTCCCACCCCTTTTTATTTTTTATTTTGAGATAGGGTCTCACCAAGTTGCTGTGGCTATTCTTGAGCTTGAGATTCTGTTGCCTTAGTTTCCCAAGTTGCTGGGATTATAGGCATGTGCCACAATGCCTGGCTTTAGTAATTATTATTGTTAGTAATAAAATGGTAGCTGCTTGATCTCTTTGCTGTTTAAATTAAGCCACTTTTGGTGGTTTAGAACTTAAACCCAGGCAGGTTGATGTCTTGGAGTGTGTGGTTATGTAATTTTAGCCACAGGAAAATGTCACCTTGAAGGCAGGTTCTGGACATTAGTTCCGATATGAAAGGATTAGCAAACCAAATGAAATGAACCTTGCTCCCTGGTCTGGCACAGCTGAGAGTGCCCTTGGAGTGGGTCGCCTGTGTCATAGTACATTCAGCAGTCAGTTCCAGGGAACAGGAATGGCAGGATCAGCTGGCAGTGTTTTGGAAGAGTGATTGTCAGCAGTTTCTGTGATGCTGCTGTTTAAATCATACAGAAAGTTTGAAACTAGAAATGATGCCAAACAACATACTGTTTGAGTATTTCTTGCAGTGCTATTTTTTTTTTTTTGTAAGATAGAGAAGACAGAGAGTTTACAGTCAGACCTTTGTCAGGCCCAGCTAGCCATTTCCTGTATGAACTTGGATGAATAACTTCATCTCTAGGACATAGTTACCTCATCTATAAAATAAGAACAAGAACTTCATATCCTAGGTCTTTTGTGTCCTCAGTCTTGCGTGAGTTGAGAGCCTTTAGCATTGCAGTGAGGGTGGCCTCTGTGCATAAAGAAAGCAAACTTTGAAGTCAGATAGTTTAATTCAGTTTTAATTCTAAACTGTGCTTTGAAGTTGTGACTTTGCCACAGTAAATTTAAATTGTTTTTCAGGTTCCTTATGATATAAAAATGGATTAGGGTTACAGAGTGTATTAAGTGGAGAATCCAAAGTGTCAGGAATGAAGGAAGATATTAGTTCTGTTACCTTTCCTTAAATGTATTATTATTCCAGAACAAGGTATTCTTGTTCTGTCCCAAAATAAGAGTGTTTCATAAGCTGTGTATGGTGACACATGCTATTTGGGAGATTAAGGCAGGAGGATCAGAGATTTGAGGCCAGCCTGGGCAACTTACTGAGATTCTTGCAATAAAAAAACAAAAAACAAAAAACAAACGCCTGGAATGTACTTAGTGGTAGAGTATTTGCCTACCATAGGTGAGGCTCTGTGTTTAACACCCAGTATATCCCCCACACCCCCATAAAAAAAGAGAAAAATGAAAAGTTTCAGAGCTTTCCTTCCTATAGATTAATTTAAAGCTGCTAGTATGCTCAGCTGTTAAACCCATCTTGACTGGTATCTCTGTTCTTAGCTCTTGGGCCTAGTGGGCCCCTAGGCAAGATGTCCCTGCCCATCGGGATGTGCCGTAGGGCATTCAGCTATGATGATGCCCTTGAGGACCCTGCACCCATGACTCCTCCTCCATCGGACATGGGCAGCATCCCCTGGAAGCCAGTGATTCCAGAGCGCAAGTATCAGCACCTTGCCAAGGTACCTGACCCTGCTGACTGCTTCTGGCAAACCTAAACTCTTTGTTTTTCTCCCTCTATTCCAGAAGCCTTCCAGTCACTTCCTGTACCCATAGAATTGGGCAGCCATTATTCCTTGTGTGTTTTCTATGCCTTAGTTGGAGTTGATGTATCTTTTTATTTTTTAATTTAAAAGTAGAATGTTGTGTCATCTATCTGAGACTCTTCTGTAACCCCCTTCCCCCATTAAAAATCCAGACTCACAAATGCCTCTTCCCGACTTCCCTACCCAGTGACCCAATCATGCATGTTATCTGAGATTTCTTGCACTTAATTGGGTGTTTTATGCTTCTGAGTCTTTGCTTCACATGTTTCTGTAGCTTAGATGTTTAGCATCTCCATCCTGTTCTCATATCCCTCACACTCCATTTGCCTAACAAATAGTATCCTTTAGGTCTTTGCATAAACATCTCTTTTATAATATTTTTCTGATATCTCCTTCCTCCTGATAAGACTGTTACCTTTCCCTTTGAACTCTGCAGTGTACCATGATCCCTATCATAATCTCTATATTGTTTTGTCACCCTCCATTAGCTTTTTGAGGCCAGGGTACATATCTGAGTTTGTATGGGTTGAGTGCATCTTATTGCAAATGCTTGGGAGCAGAAGTGTTTCAGATTTCACATTTTTTGGATTTTGGAATATATGCGTACATGCAATGAAATAAATACTTTGGAGATGGGACCCAAATCTAAACACACAATTTATGTTTCATATATACCTGTCCATATAGGCTGAAGGTAATTTTATTTATATATATATTATAATAGAAACAAAGTTTCATGGTGTGGAATTTTCCAGTTGTGGCATCATGTCAGTGCTCTAAAGATTTCAGATTTTGGAGCATTTGGGAATTCATATTTTTGGATTAAGGAGACACAACTTTTATTCCATCTTCAGTATTTAGCAACAGGCTTGGTGTAAAGTAGATTCCCCCAAATTATGCATACTGTAATTGGAGGAAAATTGGCTTTCTTAAACATACGCTGTATTTTTCTTTGTGCTCTTCCTCCTGCCTCAGGTGCCTTTTCTATTGCTGTGAGAGCTGCCTTCTTCCTAAGGCAGCTTGTTCTGCTGTCACAGCCCTTCTGTGCAGTTGGGTCTCATAGGTTTTTGTGTGCTTGTTGCAATTGTGCTTCTGAAGCCTATGCTTCCTGGCTTCTCACCTCTGATTCGCCAACACCAAAAATATAGGAAAGGTTATACTGTTTCTTGAAAAAACTAGGCCTGCCAGATTCTCAGATAAGGTCATATAGCTACAGCTAGTTTCATCAAATTGTGAGCCATCTGATTGCCTGGGCCTGATAGGAAATATACAGCTTATACAGACCTGTGCACACAACTTTACCCCAAACCACAGTTTTCCATCTAAGAGATGGAAATACTTTGTCATAGAGGAAATATGGGGATTAAATAAAAAAGGATTTAGAGGCTTGGCAATGGTAGCTATGTGTCTACTGGCTTCCAGCCTTTCACTTGGTTCAGCCATATTTGATGCTTTCTTTCTAATAAGCTGTGTTTGTTTTTCTTCTTCCATTTCATAATGGGGAGCTCCTTTCTAAGAAAACCTCTCTATACCTTAGGGGAAAACTACTTGTATCAATTATCTAGTGGAATTTGACTGAATTGGTTGTTTAGGAGGGAATGTTCTATGTAAAAAGTAGTGGAGGTACTAGGAGAAGGGGATCCTGGCAGCCTGCGGATGATGCCGAAATAGTAGACTCCAGGGACTAGGGTAGAAGATAAGCAGGGTTGGGAGTGCCTTTGAGAGCAGCACACCATTTTCATTAGTAAACGCTGCCGATTACTTCACAAGACACAGAATGGGCTTCTAGTGTTCAGTTGTGCCACAGCTGGGACAGCTGGTGATTTGGAACAACTGCTCATTACATGCATTCTTTATCTGCCCAATTATCTACATATTAGGAGTCATCCATCTTCCAAATAAGAAAACAGGTTCAAGTTTTACTCTAATAAGATCATAGCTAATAAGTATAAATCCTGTTTTGTAATAGTGATACAGTATTTGAGTACTCTCTTCTGCAGCCCTCCTGTTGAGCCATCTCTTTTTTTCAGTTCCTTTGGAGAAGCAGAGAACAAAGAATAAACCTAGTTCTCTTCTCCTTACTAGGACTCGGCATGGTGTCACATGTTTAGATTATAAAAGGTGGATGCTCTTACACATTAGAGTAGGAGCTACATAGGGTTTTTATTTTTTTAAAATTTTTTTAGTTGTCAATAGACTTTATTTTGTTTATTTCTATGTGGTGCTGAGAATTGAACCCAGTGCCTCACACATTCAAGGCAAGCACTCTACCACTGAGCCACAACCCCAGCCCTTGTTAGTTTTTTTTTTTCCCCAAATATTTTTTAGTTGTAGATGGACACAATACCTTTTTGATTATTTTTTATGTGTTGCTGAGGATTAAACCCAGTGCCTTACATGTACTAGGTAAGTGCTCTACTACTGAGCCACAACCCAGCCCAAGTTTTGTTTTTTGATACTGGGCGGTGCTTTACCACTGAGCTACATCCCCTGCCCCTTTATTTTTTATTTTGAGACAAAGTCTTAATAAGTTGCTTAGAGCCTCGCTAAGTTGCTGAGGCTGGTCTTGAACTTGTAATCTTTCTGTCTCAGTCTCCCTAGTTGCTGGGATTACAGGTGTGCACCTCTGTGTCTGGCCTGATTTTTATTAGTTTTTAAAGACCATTATTTGAACCTTTAGAATACTGGTCCTCAAACAAATCTTGGCATCACATGGAAATTTGTTAGAAATATAAGTTATTTATTTGTTTATTTTGGTGATGCTAGAGATTGAACCCAGGGCCTCACACATGCTAAGCAAAAGCTTTACCATCGAGCTACACCCTGAACCCTACACATAAGTTCTGGAGTCCTGCCCTAGACTTACTGAATCAGAAACCCTTGGGTGGGTTCAGCAGTGTGTTTAAAGAATCTCTGCAGGTGGTTCTGATATTCCACAAAGCTTTCGAGCTACTTAGCAAATGCTGTGATTAATCTAACCTAGTGCTTGGTATTTGGTACTTGTTCAGTACTTTGTAACAGTACAGATTTTCTTTTTCTTTTTTTTTGTACTGGGGATCAAACCCAGTCCTTGCACATGATGTACATGCTAGGCAAGCATGCTACCCCCGAGCTTTATCCCCAGACCCTTTTTCTTCTGCTTTCTTATTGGCATAGTACTACAGTATATTGGACAGACATAGGCAGGAAAGGTAGTAGACCTCAGAACTTCAAATTCTGGTTTTCCTTTTAGGAATTTCTTCACTTATCAGATTTAAGATACTTAAGTAACTTCTTCCTAAAGGAGTAAGTTTAGGTGTGTGACTCCCCTGCCCTGCTTAAGTGCGTCCTTACCTCTCTTGAACAGGAGGAGGAAGGAGAGGCCAGTGTATCCCCCCCTGCCATGACCCTGTCAACGGTCACTGACAGTACGGACAAGGTCCCGGTGGTGAAGGCCAAAGCTACCCATGTCATCATGAATTCTCTGATCACAAGTAAGCACCCTTTATTCTCAAGAGTAGAGCGAAGCAGGGATGGGGAAGAGTGTCAGCCTCTTACAAAGCAGCTGCAGATGATTCTGCAGACAGGCCTGTCTCAGCATGTCCAAATATATTGTGGCTGCTGAATCCCACAGTGTTGAAGCTTCATTTTGTTGGAAGATTTGACAAACATTAAACATCTCAGTTGATTTAGGTACATTTCTGTTGTTTTGTTGATATATTCTCATTTCTCATGTTGGTCAGTGTGATCTTGGGCAAGTTACTTAACTATAGAGACTGTTTTGTAAAATGGTGAATCTAGCTGGCAGGTTGAAGTGAGGATTAAATGGTTCAGTGCTTTGGGGCCGCTGTTGTTACTGTCCTAAGCTCTGCTGGAGAAGCAGTATAAGGAAGCATTTTTCTATTTTCTTTTTAATTGAACAGCTCAAAGTTGATTTCCCAGGAAGAGAAGGACCAGGTGTGGTACCTCAAGGATATTTAGTCTTTAAGAATGTGTGATTGGTGGTCCTAGTGAGACCTGCCATAGGAAGCTTGCATTTTTAAAAATATCTTACAAGTTAACTAAAGTTTGTTCAGGAGGGCTGTTCTAGTTGCTCTGGAAAGTTAATTATTAGATACACAGCTCTGCTTGTCAACAGTAATGCCTCTATCAGTGGTAAGGTACATAGAGGTTCTTGCTTGGGTGGCTCATTTTTGAAGCCCTTGTTTCTTCAGGAGTTTGTCTTGATTATTTTCTGGAGAGTTCACCCACGAACCCAAAGTTCAAACTCTCACTTCGGTTTTCTTCTCTTCACTCATAAATGTATCACTTCAATCAGCAACTGCTGCTTGCATTTTGCAAGCTTCAGGCTATATATATTGTAGAGGTGTTAGAAAGCTTAGCTATTGTTTTTTTAGTATAGAGCAACTTCTTTATTAAAAAAATGCAGTTTACCAACACATGCAGACTATTGACACTTTAGTATACTAATGTCACTTGTATTTATTTGGCATATTTACCAAAAAATGGATATTTTATGTAAGTGCAGATATAGTAGACATACCATTCTTTTTTTTTCCCCCCCTCCAATAATACTGCCAGGTACTTTTGATGTTGCCATAGACTTTTTTTTTCCTTCTATTTGTGATGGAAGTACTTCTTTAGGAGAGGAATGACTAAGTCAGAAAGTGCATCTAGACTCTTTGATTCACAGTTGCCAAATTCTTATATGTAGGAGTTTATTAGGTAACTTGTGTACGGATTAAGCAAAAATTCAGCCATCTTTCATTCCAAAGTGGAATAGACTTTTTTTTTTTCAAATATTTTTTTAGTTGTCATTGGACCTTTATTTTATTTATCTATATGTGGTGCTGAGAATCGATCCCAGTACTCACACATGCTAGGCAAGTGCTCTACCACTGAGCCACAACCCCAACCCATGACTGACTTGTGAAATCATAGGTCAGACTGAAAGAATGTTGAGGGCTCCCTGCACAACGCATGGTAAACAGGCCATCTTACACAGAAGAAACTTGTGATTTGGTAGATCTGCTAGTTCAAGGCAGGTTGTCTGTGGTTTGAATCAGGCTGGTCCTCGATGCCAGTGGGCTTGAATATGACCTTTTTCTTTTGGCAAAGGTCTTTGTATGGTTGAAGAGGCGGTGAGTTTCTCTTAGAAAACTTTGTGTTTGGAGAATTTTTTTTAATGTGTCTGGATGTCAGCTGCCATCTCCAAGCAGAATTTCTAAACACAAAGAGGTTGTTATGTGTACAAGTAAGAGCAAGGTAAGTTCTTTAGCTGTCCTTTTACGAATAATCTCTTCTTTAGCTTGGTGTGAGGGAAGGGAACTTTTGTGGGAGGTTCAGAATTCCCACTTGCAATGCCTACCTGGGGAATCCTCCTCCTTGGGTGGTCAGTGTTGTCTCTTGTTGGTTTGTGATGGGTTGTGTAATGGGCTTGATGGTCTGCTTCTCTTTTCTCAGAACAGACACAGGAGAGCATTCAGCGTTTTGAACAACAGGCAGGACTGAGAGATGCTGGCTACACACCCCACAAGGGCCTTACCACCGAGGAAACCAAGTACCTCCGAGTAGCAGAAGCACTCCACGTAAGCTTGTTTCTTTGGAACTTTCAAAAAACAAAGCCTTTATCTTTCATGGCTTGACATATGACCGTGTTTAGAAGGTACTAGCTCAGCTAGCTGGTGGCTGTGGAAAGTGGTGGAAAGAGAACTGGGTAAAGGAATTTAGAACTGGTAAGTCCCATCTATGGTGGCACTCCTGGATGAAGGCTCTGGAGTGTTTGGCCTTGTGGCTTCTGTTTACTCATCTATAAATTGAGGGTTCTCTGTTTTGTTTATTTCTGGCTAGAAGGATCAAATGAGTGTCATCTCACATACTTGATACGTGGGTACTCTGAACTGAAAACCAAATGTGGATTATTTTTCTGCCAGGGATTGACTGAGGGAGGGGGAATTGGGCAGTCTCAATAGACTTAAGTTTAGCTGGAAAACAGCATCATGCTCTGTATTTATTTATTTATTTTGGTACCAGGTATTGAACCCAGGGGCATTTAACCACTTAGCCACATCGCCAGCCCTTTTAAAATTTTATTTAGAGACAGGGTCTTGCTAAGTTGCTTAGTGCCTTGCCTAATTGCTGAGGCTGGCTTTGAATATATTAATATATATATTTAAAAAATTTTTTTAGTTGTAGTTGGACACAATTTTATTCTATTTAATTAATTTATTTTTATGTAGTGCTGAGGATGGAACCCAGCCCCTCACATTTGCTAGGCGAGTGTTCTACTGCTAAGCCACCACCCCAGCCTCATGAATATATTTATATTATTGGTACTAGGGATTGAACCCAGGAGTATTTAGCCACTGAGCCACATTCCCAGTCCTCTTTTTAAAATTTTGGGATGGGGTCTGGCTAAGTTGCTGAGGTTGGCCTCAAACTTGGCAATCCTTTTCTGCCTCAGCCTCCAAATTGATGGGATTACAGGAGTGTGTCACCATGCCCAGTTTAAACATTTTAAAGAATAAAAATGTTTCAACTGACTTTGAACACCACTTTATATGAATGGTGCTTTATGATTTAGGCCCTCATAAATTCACTTAATCTTCATATTAATGCCTTGAGGTACATACTGTTTTCTATATTTTTTAAATGGAGAGAATGGCGTCCAAGGGCATATATTTAGCCACATTATGAAATCAACATCTCCCAATTCCCTATATCCTCCTCAACCCCTCCACAAAGTAGTCTGAGAATCTGCCACTCAAAGGGGCTTAGATTCTCCTCTGAAGGAAAAGGGCAGAGGTGACTCAAAGGACACAAATACAGCTAAGAAACTGGACTGTTTTCTGTAGGCAAGGATGGGTCATAGTCTGATCATGTTGCAAGTTTTATTTTAAAGAGTTCTGAGCTGGGCGCAGTGGTGCACACCTGTAATCTCAGTGACTCGGAGGCTGAGGCAGGAGGATTGCAAGTTGAAAGCCATCCTCAGTAATTTAGTGAGACCCTATCTTAAATAAAGGAGGGCAGGAGGCTGAGGCTGATGGATTGAAGGTTCGAGGCCAGCCTTAGCAACTTAAGCCATTAGCAACCTAGCAAGACTGGAAGTGAAAAATTAAAAAGGGCTGAGGATGTAGTTCAGAGGTAAAGCACCCCTGAGCTCAATTCCTAGTACCAAAAACAAACAAATAAAAATAAAAAATGGGATGGGTAAGTTGGGGATGTGGCTCAGTGTTTTAAGTGCCCCTGGGTTTACAATCCCCGGTACCAAAAAAAAAAAAAAAAAGGTTCTGAGTAGGAAATGATAAGGATTAGATAATAAGTATTCCCCAGAAGCTCACGTGTGAGACAATGGAAGAACATTCAGAGGTGAAATGATTGGGCTATAAGCTCTTTAACCTAATCAGTGAATTAATCCTGTGGTGGGGATTAACTGGGTGGTAGCTAAAGTTGGGTAGGGTGTGGCTGGAGGTTGGCATTGGGGGGCATGCCTTTGGGGTATAATTTGTATCTGGCAAGTGGAGCCTCTGCTTTCTGATCATCTTGTGAGCCACTTCCTTCTGCCACATTCTTCCATGATGTTCTCCTTTATCAAGCCCTGAGGAATGGAGCTGGCTATCTGGACTGAGACCTCTGAACTCATAAGTTCCCCAAATAGACTTTTCATCCTCTAATTGTTCTTGTCAGGTCTTTTGGTCACAGCAGCAAAAAAGCTGACTAAAACATGGCTTTTGGGCATAGGAGAGAACAAAAGGAGGGAAGGATCATGATGTACAGTATATGGAAGGGGGAATAATGTGCATCTGGTGGCCTGTGGGTAGGGATATGAGACTCTGTAGACTGGTTGCATTGTATGAGTATTACATGTGACTCTTTTGTAGCCTGTTTAAAAAGCAGTGATATGGAGGGATCAGTGTTGGGCTGGAGGCCAGTTTAAGCTTTTAGGCAAGAAAGATACTTTCAGAGAGGTACACTGTCAGTTTTTAATACTTGAGTACCTTCATCTGAGCAATTCACTCATGTGATCGTAGAATTGGCTTTGTTTGGCCCATTTTCTGCATCCTGGCTGTAGGAATAGAACATGAGGATGGCTGAAATGTTAGATTTAACTAGCATCATCTTATAATTATTTGCTGATTTAAACAAATTGATTTGTTGAGAAAACTGAAGAGTGATCATTTGTTTAGAATGTACCTTGGATGGAGCAGTGGCATACTGTGCATAGAGGACAGGCACTATGGGAGCCTTGACTTAGAATTCTAGAAGTGTGAAGTAGATTTATCCCCACCCACTACTACTCACTAGACTTCTAGTCTGCTGGAGATACATTTACAGTGTTGAGGGGACCTAGAGTAGCTATTGATGGGAGGGGAAGGAGAATGGGGTAGTATCCTCAGAGGAAGCATTTAGTTAAAGAACAGCAAACCTGATGCTTGTTTTTGAGAGTCAGAATGCTTAGGGGCTGTATGTGGTAGGAGATGTAGAGAGAGAAGAGCTCAAGGTGCTGTTTATAAGTCCAAGAATACAGCTGGATGTTGGCTCTCCTACTTACTGGTTGTGTGCATGTGGGAAAATTATTTTCCTGAAAGTAAAAGCTTTCAGTTCAGGGATGTTTGAGATCTGTTATAGAATGAGTGCATGGAAAGATGGAATTTCATTCAGTATGGCAAAAACAAAATCATTCTGCCTATGCCATAAGTGTTTTTCTTGTGCCTTAAGTTAACATAAAACAAATGGTTTATGCCCAGACAACTATTTTATGGCTATTTTGGTTTGTACTCAATTTTGACAAAACCTTTCTTCTTACCCATCTGGACAGAAACTAAAGCTGCAGAGTGGAGAGATAACAAAGGAAGAGAAGCAGCCTGCGTCAGCCCAGTCTACCCCAAGCAGCAGCCCTCACTCTTCCCCCAAGCAGAGGCCCAGGTGAGCCCTTCCTGTGACCCTTCTAGGCCTCAGCAGGCTTCCGCTTGGGGAAAGCTGGTGCTCAAAGCTGGATTTAAGTCTGTGGTTTCACAGTGAGAAGTGCTCGCTCACAATTCCCTGGTCTTTTGGTGGGAGATGACTTTTGAAGGTGCAGGAAAAGGATGTATTAGGATGCTTTGTTTTTGCTCTTCCAGAGGCTGGTTTTCTTCTGGTTCCTCTGTAGCCTTACCTGGTCCAAGTCCTAGCACCATGGATCCTGGAAGTGGAGATAAGGATAGAAACTCATCAGATAAATGGAGTCTTTTTGGTCCAAGACCCCTTCAGAAGTCTGATTCTGGTAGGCAGCTCTGTCAAAAAAGAAAGCAATATGGCAGGCATATTGATGTACTATATTCTGGGCATAGACTATGGTTCTGCAGTCATTTATTCTTTGGTTTACTTTTGTAGGAGGTTTTACCATCCAGGCCTACAAAGGCGCCCAGAAGCCCTCTCCCATGGAGCTGATCCGTGCCCAGGCCACCCGAATGGCTGAAGATCCAGCAACCTTCAAGCCACCCAAGATGGATGTCCCAGTGATAGAAGGGAAGAAACCACTGCCGCGGACCCATAATCTCAAACCGCGTGACTTGAATGTGCTCACACCCACTGGCTTCTAGAGTGCGTCTATTCCAGGGACTTGGGCTAGAGGGTTTCTTGTCCTTTATTCCCCTTTTACCTTAGCTCTGACATAGGAATGGTATATTAAAACAAACAAAACTGAGGCTAGAGGTGGAGACATAATTAATTCTGAGAAACATCAGTGCAAAGCTTGTCCTTGTGTGGAAGAAACCGTTTTGTAGTGTTTTAGAGTCAAACTAAAAAAAATCTCAGCAGTGATTTTGCGGGGAGGACTTCATTACCCTTTCTTATCATTTACCCCAGACCAGGACTTTGATCATTGCTTACTAGGTAAATGTTTATGCTATTCCAAAACCTAGGCTTCTTTTTACCACCATCAGCATAAACACACCATGGTGTAGAGGTGTCCGCTGACAAGTTTGGCCTTTTTGACTCTGCTGATGTCAGGTAGGGGGACCTAAGACCTGTTTAAGGTCTGGGTACAGTTAACAGCCACACTTCGCAGGGACCCCTATTTTCTAGGCTAAAACTGGTCTCCTTGCTTTTTGGTCAGTCTAATGGATTGCTTTGTCCTGTAATCAGTTCTTCATGCTTCTTGGTACCTCTTGAGCTGCTGCTGTTGGAAGGATGCTTCTCATTTACATGTCACAGAAAAACACTAGTCTTGCATATCCTTTCTTGCACTTTAAAGATTACAGTAAGATTAGTTTAACTCCATTTTGGTTTAAACTTCCTAAAATAAGAAAATTAAATTGATTTGAGATATATTTTGTGGTGCTGGGGATTGAATCCAGGGCCTTGTACATTCAAGGCAAGTGCTCTACCATTATTGAGCTATACCCCACTCCCTGCCCTAGGATGGTAAACTTTTAGAGTAAATGAAATTCATTTGAAATTAGTGTCAATTATTTCAGTTTCTTTGTATAGGTCAGGGCTTAACTTTTTGGAGGAGACATGGATATATTCAAAATAAGAAAAGCATTTTTCACCAAAATGAGCCTCATATCTTTATGCAGCATATCTTAGAAACTGCATTTTTATTTCTCCTCATTTTGTACATTTGTCTTGAACACTGTCTCAGATACTTGCCGTTTTTGTTTTGGTTAGGATTTTTGTTTACATAAGAAGCTGACCTTCTTATAGAGAAGCCTTTAAGTCTAAAATTGTCAGAACAACTAATTTATTTGTGTCTTCTCTGTTATGATCTTTTGTTTGGACAATAAAGATCCTTATTGTTTTCTCAAATGTGGATATCTTTCTGTCCTGTTAACAATAGCCATTCTGCCTACCCAGTCATGGAACCTAAGCATGGTAAACTTGGTATTTTGAAAAACCATTGCCTTTTTATTGTATCTTTTTAACATCAAATGTTTTATAACACACTCTATCCTTCTGTTTCTTTGTCCCCTTTTGTTACATTAGATCTTAATAGACCGGCCACAAAGTCAAATTCATAGGCAATATAAAAGGTCTAATAGAGAATGTTAGGAAAAACAAATGTTTTTCCAGAAACAGGCTCTCAGTTACTTGAATAACACTGACATACAGTTTGTTCATCAGAGGGATTCTTCTCTCTCACATCTTGAATGGAAATGTTAAACAGAGTGCATATAGTGTTACCTGTTTCAAAAAAAGTATAGATAAATAATTTATTAAAAAATATATACACCTTGTATATTTAAGCCATATTTGAGAATAGGCCAGGATAGGATTATCAAAAAAAGAGAGAGATGTAAGAGTCAGAAAGTGACTACAGCCTACAGATAAATAAGATAGGTTTGGTCCTGCGAGATTTTTACTACTGTTCATACTTTCGGAGCTTTTAAGTAGTTGAAGACAAGTTCAAGAGGTATTCTTGGTGCTCAGTGCTTATTAGAAGGCCCTTAGGGCTGCTCTAGTGCTTCGGAGTAGGCTCTGTGTCAGGGTTCAAGTCCGCAGCATAGAAGAGCAGAAGCTTCAACAAGTGCACTTTGTCTTGCAGTTGAGGGACCAGAGGCTCCCCCAGCATCTGGATTAAGCGACTGCGGAAGGCCTCAATCTGCTTCTCCACATCCACCACTGTGATGTCATCTCCTTGTTGGGGCTTGGGCTTAATCCTTTTGATTATTAAGTCTTTTCGATCAATCACTGAACTCCGTAGGTGCTCTGCAAGAGGAAAGAAATCAGTGAAAATATACTGCTTTTTATCTCTATCTGATTAAAAAAATTAAGTCCAATATTAGGTAAATTCCTGTTGCCTAGTTACTGGAAGACAAGTCAAAAGGCTATGTAGATTACTACGGCAACCCCATTTCCAAAAGGTCCTGTATTTTTGGTTTACTCTGATCATCAAGAAGTTTTTTTTTTTTTTTTACATATTAAAAAAATTGCATTCTTTTTATCTTTTTCCTTTTGATTTAAACTATAAGCCTACATGAAATTACATTTTAGATATTTCAAATTTATACACAAGACATTTTTGAGACAGGATCTCTCCTACAGTGGGGAGACCCCTCTGGGTGGTGAGGGGATACTAAAGTGGAAATTGAGGTGTCAGTATGAACATGTATAATAAATTTATAAAATTATGTAACTTACTGACAGGGTCTAAAAGCAGAGACACTCTAGTAGCAATCATAATTTAAATCCTAGCTTCCATACACATTCTCCACTAAAAGCAATCAATTTTTTTTTTTTTTTGAGAAAGACGTTCTGAGACCAAGGCAAGGTAACCTGGAACACCCTTTGTGAGAAAGGGAATGTTTAAAATTAATGGGGAGGGGCTGGGGTTGTGGCTTAGTGGTTGAGAGCTTGCCTTGCATGTGTGAGGCACTGGGTTTGATCCTCAGCACCACATAATATAAATAAAACAAAGATAAAAAGATGATGGAGACCTGTCAAAAGCAACCTAAAGGAGGTTCTTATTGGCCAAATTTTGGACAATGTGATCAGAAAAAAGGATGCCAAAAAATGAATTATTTCAACACACTGAATTTTAAAAAGTCCTGAGTGCACAGTAGAAGTTTTTAAAGGGAGCCCTTTTTCCAGAAGAAGGTTAAGAAGTATAGAAGAAAGTAGAACTAGAAAGTTTGCCACTTTTCAAACTACTAATATGAGTCAAGTAAGAACCACAAATGGATGCTAAAACCAAGTGAAAGGCTGACAGGATATTCATAGTCTCAAAAGTTTCACCCTCTACTAATAACAAAGGGAAAATAAATCCTGTCTCAGCCTCCTGAGCTGCTGGGACTACAGGTGTGTACTACTATGCCCAGCTTGCCCTTTCTATTTTGAGACAAGGTCTCACTAAGTTGCCCAGGCTAGTCTTGAATTTGTGATCATCCTGCCTGTTGGGAGCTGTTGAGATTATAGGTGTATATGTGACTGCCCTGCATGACATTGCCTTTTGATGTCATGTGCAAGATTTCTTAGATTTTACTATTTTTTTTTTTTTTTTTTTGAGACAGGGTCTTGATAAATTGCCCAGGCTGGACTCGAACTTGTGGGCCAGCTTTCTGAGCAGGTAGGATTACAGGTGTGCACCACCATGCTTGGCTTGCTAATAGATTTTTAACATGAATCTTATTGTGAGAAGATATTAAGACAATCCCAATTACTGAACATTCTACAAAATAACTGGCCTCAACTCTTTAAAAATATCTGTTGAGCTGGGCACGGTGATGCATGCCTGTAATCACAGCTACTCAGGAAGCTGAGGCAGGAGGATCATAAGTTCAAGGACAGCCTTAGCAACATAGTGAGGCCCTGTCTCAAACAAAACAAAACAAAACAAACAAAAAAATAAGGCTGGGAATGTCATGCAGTGGTTCAATTCCCATTAACCCCACCCCCCCCCCCCCAAAAAAAAAGGCTGTTATGAAGGACTAGTAAAGGCTGGGAACTCTGTGATTGAGAGATTGAAGGAGATCAAGAGTACGACTACCAAGTACAGTGCTTGATACTTGACTGGGTTCTGACTCAAAAATAATCATCTACATATGATATTATGGGACATTAGATAATATTCTATCAAGAATCAGTTTCTTGTGATAATTGTGAGTGTTATGTAGAAGAATATCTTTGGAGATTAAAGCTGAAGGATTTAAGTAGGACTATGATAGTACAACTTATTTTCAACTGTCTCAGTTCTCTCTAGCCAAAGTGTAATCATTAAGCCACCTGTGGCCACATGTTAACAGCTGGTGAGTCAAGAAAAAGGGCGTAGAGGGTGTTCATTATACTATTATTTTAAATTTTCTATAGGCCTGAAAATGAAAATACTAAGGAAAATAAGAAGTTATAAAGGTATCTCATTCCACATCCACAGGCCAGCTCCAATAGTTCTGGAAGTATGTGGAATTGAGACAAAGGAGTTCAGGGTCACATATAAAGCAAATGCACTGAAGAATTCTGAGGACTTTATCATGACTCCCAGATGCACCAAAGTAACTCCAGCATCATTTTCTCAGTCTCATTTATTTTATAAATAAGCATAATCCCAAAAGGACTAAATAGTGTTTGGAAATTAAGAGAATAAACTTACTATTATTATTTTTTAGTACTAGGAGTTAAATCCAGATGTGCTTTATCACAGAGCTACAACCCTAACCCTTTTTGTTTTGATACAGTCTTGCTAAATTGCTTAGGGCCTGGCTAAGTTGCTGAGGCTGGCCTTGACCTTGTGATTCTCCTGCCTCAGCCTCCAGAGGTTCTGGGATTACAGGTGTGAGCCACCACATGGAACAGAATAAGTTCATTTTAAGCAATATATTTTGTTACATTTTCGATTAATATGCTCAATATATTTCTCATCAACTTTCAGATGAAAGCACTTAAAAGTCTAGATTTATACCAGTAAGTCTAATTACTGTCTGAAAAGGAAGTATAATAAATATATTACAGTGTGTCCAAGATCTGGAAACAGAAAACAATGTTGCTTTTAGATGTAATTATAGGGCCCTTTGAACATTTAAGCAACAAAAATTTACAGTGAGAACCTAGTTTCTGGAACTAGGCTAGACTGCAGGGACAGTGGAATCAGACCAGCTCTGTGCACTTACATTCTAGTCACAGGAATCCTGAGAAGGAATAAACCCACAAAAATAATTATAGATTGACATGAGTACAATTAAAGAAATAAATTGGATGCTGTGATAAAAAGTAATAAGAGGGGTGGGATGGAATGAAAGTAAGCAGTCTACTCTAGCCAGGAAGGGCCCTTGAGGCGAGTCCAGAAGGATGAGATGGAGGTAACTATGTCTACTTCTAGGGAGTGTGCAGTCCAGGTAAACAGCAGAGCAAGTGCAAATGCCCTGAGGCAGGAAAAAAAAGCTTGCTTTGAAAACTGGAGATCAAGTCAGGGACATAGAAGGGAGTAGTAGGAGGGAGATGGCATTGGAGGGTAGGCTGGGCTATGTAATAAATGTGGATTTGTCCTTGGGGAGTATCTAGAGGGGTTTACTGCAGGGTTTTAAGTAAGGAAACGTGATCTGTTTCACTTTGCTACTGGTGGAGAATGGTCTTAGGAGGACAACAGCCTTCTGGTAGAATTTGATTTTCTTAAACAAGGCACGGCTACTCTGACAAATCTAGCAATGGTTTTTGAAAAAGATAGAAAGAAACATTGACTGAATAGGGTGAAACAGGGAAGACCAATGATGTGAGCAAGAAAAATGTGGAGTTTATTATTAGAATAATGCTCATTAATGCCCATCTAAGCACTGCCCATGGGGGAGGAGGAAATGTTGGCCGTTCTGGTCTATTTGGCAGGGCCTTGGATTTTAGGCCTCAGTGGGTATGAACGAGTTCTTACGTCACAGGGTGCTCACTACTATGTGAAGCAATTTATGTAATGGGTTGAGCATAATTCCTGACTCAAGTTGTTTTAGCTGAAAGTATTGTTATTAGTTACTGGATCTATAGTGGAGTTAGCTATTATTATTTTATCATCAGCACCACCACTAAGAATTTCTAACTTAATATACCAAACTGAATTCTTATCTTTCCTGCAGATTTTTCTCGATTTTCAATGATGGAAATTTTTCTCTATTTTCAGTCCTGGAAATCATATTCAAGCCATCAAGCCAATCTTCAAAGAATTTTGGTTGCACCTATTGCCTTACTCACTGCACTACCCACACCAGGGTCACTTTGGCAGAATTTGCCACATACCAGGCAGAGTGAACACTGAAATTTACAGATATGATTATGATATTCCCTTACCTGAAACCACCTTGACATTTCCTGACTCTTGAAATTAAGTGGAA